CAAAACTGGTTACGTAATTTCATGCAAAAAATATCATGGCAAAAAAATTCACATGATCATATGAAATGTCGGATAATTTAACATTATCAAAGAAAATCACCAAAAATGTTTATTTGCTTTGGTCATGCAGTCATTATAATAAGAATTACAGTAAAGAATTAGTGTGACCTAAAATTAATAGGATGTTTGATTCGGAATTTTTTTTTAAACTGTAGGTGTTACATTTCGGAGTTGTTAATTCCTGTTGCCCAACAGCTCGAAAATTCATACAAGTATGATTTTTCTTATTCTCAAAAATTATGAATTAATTCCGAATTTGCTGTTTAGAACGTTCAGTCTTTAGAGATGAATCGCTTAAGGTGAAATGCAGTCATACGTCTAAAGCACAATTCTATACTTTGAACATTCACCAATCTTCGTATAATCTATTTCTTTCTGTAGCAGTTATTATTTGTGTGAGCAACGTTTTTTTCTTTTTGTTATGCTTAATCCTACGTACACGTTTGATCCACCGAATCTTATTATGTTTATCCTAATTTTAGTACCTTTAATTACACAAAATGTAACCAATTTACCAATTTAACTTTGAATGTACGTACAAAAGTAAACAGATTATCGAAATGAATTTCCAAAATAAGTAATTATACAAAGGACATTATATGAAATTGAAGACTATATTTATGAAAATAACGTACAGTACGCGTTATTAAATAAAAAATTAACCGCGTGGTGAAAAATAAACCAATTGATTGACAGCGATTATATTTAAAACTGTGTGGTTTCAAAGACATTCTGAAAAAGGATTACAATATGGTATTATACACGGTAAACTATAAATCAACGCGATTTCTCTAGAAAGTTCAAGCAAAAAAAACAAGCAAAAAATGGCATTGGTTACGAGAAGCACCGAAAACACCCAAATCAGTTGCGCAATCAAGGCAAGTAATGAACTTGTAAAAAATTTACACCGCGATGGATTAGATCGTGGGTGCATTGCAACATTTAATAGCAGAATGGTTGTGAGACAGGTAAAGGATATTCTCTTTTTATTATCTCTACTTTTTTATAATTCTTTTTTATAATTTTTTTTCACCAAATTCTTTTTATCAGAACTTTACTAGAGATGAAGCATCACTTTATCGTTCTCTTACCGGTTTAAAGAACTATGTTAGTGGTTCCACTCGTCTTTATGATAGTATTGTTGATATCATAAAAACCTTTCATAGTAATGGCGACCGTACTCGTCCTTGGATTTTGGTCGTTGTAACTGATGGTGATGACACTGGCAGTAATCTCAGTTTACTTAAATCTGCTAGTGAAATATCACGATTATTTACTAAAGATTCTAGTAACTTTTTGTTTGTTGTCGGTGTCGGTGATGATGTGGATTCAACCAAGATGGAACAGGTATTGTCTTACTTTTATTATATTATCATCTACACACATATATATATATTAATATTTTAAAATTAAAATCAGATGGCTAGTGCTGGCAACTTCATCTACTTCCCTGTTAAAGACTTTTTCCTTCTTGAGCTTGTATTCCTGACTATCGCCCATAAAATCACTACCTCTCTATCTCTCTCCCTTGGCAGTCTCTCTGTCGGAAACTATTCCGCTTCATGGGCCGAAGTTCAAAGGCATAGAAATCTCTGCCAAGTCGCCATCGATTATGCTCTATTGATCGATGTATCTAGTTCTATGAATAGTATAATAAAACCACCTGCCCCTCAATGTTTTGCCGGCCATGACATGAAACCAAAATATCAAAATGGTGATTGGTGGTGTGATATCTGTGGGAAAGATGGTCTAACTTCGGTATGCCTTTCATCTTTTCATTTTCAAATTGATTTTTTCTTAAATCTTTTCAATTTTTCAACTCTTTAACTTTTTAATCTTTAATAAATTTTGTGTGTCCATAGACTTCTCAAAATCATTGTTCCATCTGCAATTTCGATGCTTGTTCTAGCCATTGCAAACCTGGTGAAATATGCGAACCTAAAAGTAGCTGCCGAAATCGTCATCCTCTTCGTTATGCGCAAACTCCTGCAATGTGGATGTGTGATGAATGTAGAAAGATTTGTTATGGAAGACGTTTACATTGTAAACAATGTGATTATGAACTATGTTCAACTTGTTTGGCAAATGAGGACCTTGCTTATTTGATGGCAAACTTGCTTATCGCCTCTGCAAGATGAACAATTTTTTTTTATGGACATTGTTTTTTTTTTATTTTTTAATTATTTCATCATATACATTTTATCTATCATTCATATTCACATTCACATTCACATTATTATCATTCGCATGATTTTCAACTCGGCATTTTCTTTATTCATAAACGCTATTGCTATTATTATTAAATAGTTGTTAAAGAAACTTTAAAGGACTTTAAATGTGAAATAACTAAAAACATTGAGCTTGTAGTAATGATAATTAAATTTATCAATAAAAAGCAATGTTTCTTTTACGATATAATTCAGTTTATCAGAGTACATCAGATATATTAACCTATTGCCTATGTATATTATTTTTAATAATTTAAATTAGAATGAAAATAGTTGATTACTTGAAATATGAAATATTAACTTTTGGTTTAAATTTGGTGAGTTATTTCAAGTTTTTTATATTAACAAATATGGACCAATTTCATTTAATCCGCAAAATCAATATCAAAATGTAAGTATATATTGTTTTTTGAGAAAAAGAACAAACTCAAATGAACTATTTAAAAAATAATTCTTGTAATTTTTAACGAATTTGTGACATAAGTTATTTTCTAAAGAGAAAATTATAATTTCACCGCAACTTTCTAACTAAATCACTGGTTATAGCTGTTTTCAAAAAGGTGTGAACAGACGCAAATAACTATATCACGGGAAATTCAAGATTTCCAAAACTTTCAAAGCAGCTCTAATCGGATCTTCAAATTTTTACTAATGATAATTTCTCAATTCTTCAATTCTTCGATTCCCCACATAGGTATGTGAAAATTGTTGTTTACACCTTTTTGAAAACAGCTGTAAATATATGCAATTCGACCTCCAATATTTTATAACAATTCGGAGGGGAATCAGCATCTAATTTTTGGTTGATAATTAAAAATATAGTTGATAGTTAGAAAAATTATAATCGAAGAAATTTTTTGTGCAAATCTTTAAATATAAATAAGTTTGCAAATATTTTCACAGATAAGATGGATATTCTATAGAATAGGTGGGCAAATTCAGCAAACTCCGCAATTCCGCTATTAAAAAATTAATGATTACTAATCATTAGTGAGCTTATTTCTTATATTGCTCCCCTATTCGGGAGCCGGACAAAATTCCGACGAACAAAATCCTGAAAGATCAGAATCCTGAAAAGTTAGCCCGAATTAGGTTAGCGTTAGCTTAATTCCGGTTAATTTTTTTCGGGATTTCGTTCTTCGGGATTATGTTTTCAAGATTTTGAACCAAACCCCACCTATTCTATAGAACATCTGTGTGCTCTCTAATATCTTGAAATTTTACTATGCTAATCCCCGTCATGTAACTAAGCAAAAATATTTTTCTTATAATTTTACTTTACTCTAACCCTAACTATATATAACCTTAATTTAACCTTAACCTAACTCTAATTTTTATTTTAGTTTTAATTTTGCTATAGAAGCACACTGTTTACCAGGATACTATTGGATTTTTTTCTTTTTTTATTAAAAATATTATATAATTGTATACAATTACTACAGTATTATTATTTTCTTATTATAATATACTGGTAGAATATATAAAAATTGACTTAATCAAATGTTAATAAATATTGATCTAAAAAAACTTAAAATTATCTGTATAAAAGAAAATTAACTCAATTTTACTAGTTATTCAACTTCTAATATTTATAAGCAATTCAAAGAAAAATTAACATCTAATTTAGGTAATCATTAAGAAAATCATATTATTTTCAAATTAAAGTCTTTAGATTTAACAGTATACAGTATATAATAATATGCAGAGTATATAATAGCAAAATTTTGGGATTTTACATTTATATTGTTAAAATTTATAGATCAAAATATATAATAACATGATCTTTAATTTTACTTGTTTTTGTTTTTTTAAATTTTTTATTTTTCTTTATTTTTTTACTGGATCTATATAAGTATATACTAATATATAATTATTTTTTAATTTATTTTTATTTATCCTTTTTATTAATCTATTTATTTTCCTTTTTATTAGCATTTTCTCAATGTTTTTAGTTTTTGATATTATTCTAGTTTTCTAATACTGTTTTAGTTTTTTGTACTAGTTAAATATATACAATTTGATTTCTAATATTTTATAACAATTTGAAGAAGATTTGGTATCTAATTTTTAGTAAAAGTTAAAATATAATTGATAATTAAAAAAATTATAATTGAAAAACTTTTTATACAAACTTTTAAATATATACAAGTTTACAAAAATTTTTATAAATAAGATAACATAAGGCTACACAAATTTAATATATTGGTTTTCATAACATGAAACTTTTAAACAGACCCGGCCAGCCGGCTTTTTTTTTTAAATTTCATATATAAAAATTTATAAAATTTTTTTAAAATTTTTTTAAAATACCCACCCGGTTATTAAAACATACAAAAATTTTTTTTTACAAATTTTCAAATTTTGACCTGGCCGGGTTATGAAAACCAATTAATTAAGTTTGCATGGCCTAATAAATAATAAATATAAATTTATATTTTTTATTAAAAATATTATATAATTATATATAACTACTACAGTCCTATTATTTTCTAATTACTATGTTTAAAAAACTAGAGGAATCTTAAAAAATCACAACATTAAGAAGCTAGAGCAATATTATAAAATCAAACCACCAAAAAACTTGAACAGTACTAAGAAACTAAAATAACATCAAAAACTAAAAACATCAAAAATATACTAATAAAAAGAAAAAATAGATTGGTAATAGTGTTCGAAAAAGTCAGCACGGATCAGATTCGGATTTGTCAGATCCAAACCATCAGATTAGGTTTGGCCCCTGAAATGTCAGATTGGGCCCGGATTGAGCGGGATTGGGCCTAATTTTAGGTCATGTCTTTATATAATCACTCTATGTGATAAATTCGAATTTGTCATGTAATAAATTCGAATATATCGCACCTTGTCACAATATAAGTGATAAATTCGAATTTGTCACATGACAAATTCGAATTTATCACTTATATTGTGACAAATATATGTGACAAACCGTCAGATTGGCACGGATCACTCCCAGATTCAATCTGAATTACTAATTTGGATCAGATTCAGATCAATCCTGGATTAACCGAGATTTTTAATCCGTTTTCGAACACTAATTGGTAAAAAAAAATTAAAAATTAAAAAAAATCAAAAAAAGAAAAGTAAATCGAGATCATGTTATTGTATATTTTTGGCCATAGATTTTAACCATATGAATGTAAAATAAACCACAAGATTTTGCTATTATATATCTGCATATTATCAAATTACATATTATTAAATCTAGAAACTCTAATTTGAACACAATTCTGCACTGGTATAATTTTCCAATGATCAACCTAAAATTAGATGCTAATTCCTCTTCAAATTGCTATATAAATATTAGAGGTTAAATAACTTGTGGAAATTGGGTCGATTTTTTTTTATATAGATGATTTTAGGTTTTTTTTATTTTTATAAGTTCAACTAGTGAATCATGCTTTTTTTAAAAAAAAAATAATAAACTGCAACTAGATTAGACTAGATCAGTGATGTATATTTTGCTATCTAAAGGCTTTTTGGCACTGTCTAATATCCAAGCATCTAAGTATTTACAAGTGTTTAAAGTATGTTCAAGCTTTAATCATTAATAAATACTAGTATATAATCTGTGCCTCTGGCACGTAGGTTGTGTAAAATATATGAGCTTTCCAAGTTATATAATAATTTAAATATTTTTGAAACTCGCTTATTAGTATTTGATATAGCAATGATAAACACTATAATTTAATTATTCGGAATGGTATATCATTTTGTCTAAATATAATTGCTACCTTAATAATAATAAATTTTTGTGATAGTAAGTAAAAGTACAGCGATATGGTTTTATGTTATACTTGAATTGTCTACAATAAGCAAAGATTAACATAAAATGCACATATATATGTATTTAGTTACTATATTGTTGATCAACATCTTATATATGATATGCGAACTAATTAAACTACTTGTTTATCTCCTATGTTTTATTACACCATAGCTTCTTAATATTTTATAAATATTTAAAACATATATAATTATATTTTTTTTAGGTGCTGAACATATTTTATTTAGAAAATAATATAAGTTATCTTAATAAAATTTTGAGTAATTTTAATTTATTTAATTGTCCAAAATTGTCTAAAATGTCTAAACTTACTGTCTACAACTGTTCCGTGACAATACTAGGTTAGATTAAGTTCATTTAAGACAATAATTAAAAAACTTCCTAATTCAAATTATATAAGAATTTTTTTGTTAGGTTAAAAAGTGTGTTTATAATCAATTTATTATAATACTATATTCTACTGCAAATAAGCATCATTCTTTCTACCTATTTTTTAAATATTAGATTAGTGAAAATCATAATAAGACCTTTAGCTAAATTATTTCTGCTAATT